AAATCAAGGGCACTGGGTGGCCTGCCCCGATGCTCCCACCTTGCCTCGTGGAGCATCGGGCGGGCCGGTCACCCAGGCCAACGTGGTGTCTTGTGCCGGGGGCGAGGGGGGGGCGGAAAGAGGCGAGCTGCGGGCTGCGAGCGCCGAAAATAGGCGGTGCGCCCTTGGTGTTTGTTGGCTTTCCTGTTGAGTTCAGCTTGGAAAGCAGTGCGGGGCGGGGGCTGAAATCGTGGTGTTTGCTCAGGGGTGTGTGTGTGTTTGATTTTAAAAAAAGACCTCGCCTGGAGAAAAAAAACAAATGGGTATGTGGTATTACGGCATCCGCTTTAGCCCGCCTGCCCGTGCTTAGACTTGCCAAACCAAACTGTTGAAACAATAAGGACGACAGAGCAAGGCATGCTTTCGAACCGGGCTGCTGGTTGCCAATAATACCTCCATTGTATTCTGTGGAAAGGAGACATCCGTTCTGGGGGTCATCAATGTTCCGGAATTGAAAAAAAAAACTTCCGTTACAAGGGACCTGGCATCTTGAGCCCACCAAGGTGTGGGAAGTTCCCTGAAGAAAGGAGAGGCATTAACTTTGAAAGGGAGGAGGAGGGCAGAGGGTGGAGGGCACCCTTGAGGTTGCTTCAGACCCAGCACTTGCTGTGCAACTAATGCTCTGTGTAAAGCTCGGAGCCTTCAAACCATGTGTTAGGTTGAGTTACCATGGGTTACGGTGCATGCACAGATCTCTGGCTACACTTGCACCCTCTTCAGAACCACCAGTTGGCCATGGCTTCCTTCCCAGCTCCTCCTGTCCCCTCTGCGGCCATATGGTGCACAAAGTGTGTGCCAGGCCCCATCACATGTGTGGTGATCACCTTGTTTTTTATGCCACATCCTCATCAGGTTGATGTAGAAAATCTGTTAGGTGGAGCACAGTATTCCTATCCTGGGATACAAGATTCCTAGCAAAACAGCCATGAGATTTTGCTGGTGTCGGGTCATTCCTGAGCTTGCTACGAAGAAAAGTTTCAGAACTTACCATCTCGACCCCCCACCAAGGAGGCAGCCCAATAAAGAACTGTTGAGAAAGGAAACACCTTTTTTACAGGCTTGAACAAGGGTTTTGCAAAGAGAGCAGCATGTGCTTCCGAGACGGGCATCATCCATGCCTTTGACTGCCTTATTGGAATCAACAGGAGAAAAAGGCTTCACTTGGACTGGATTATAGTGAGTTTAGCGTTAAAGGAAACAAAAGCTAACCTACTTTCAGAAAGGTTGCTATGTTAGTCTATTTCAGTAACAACAAAGACAGAAGTATCCTGACAGTTTTAAAACTAACTAGTTCATTGTGAACTTTTGTACATTATAGTCCTAATGCCTGAAAGTTCATGCTGAAATGAGTTTGTCTTAAAGCTACCATGATATTTTCATGTTGCTCTTGCTGAAGGGCAGTATTGCACACCTTTCTGTCTTGTGTAAGATTCTCTCTCTCTCTCTCTCTCTCTCTCTCTCTCTCTCTCTCTCTCTCTCTCTCTCTCTCTCTCTCTCTCTCTCTCTCTCTCTCTCTCTCTCTCTCTCTCTCTCTCTCTCTCTCTCTCTCTCTCTCTGTGTGTGTGTGTGAGAGAGAGAGAGAGAGAGAGCAGATGGACCTGTGCAAGCTAGCTATAGTACCAGAAAGCAATGGTAGAATGGAGGATTCCACTTCATGCTACAGGGGAGGGATCAGCGGTTTTGGGGATTTTCTTCTGCAGAAGCTTCCTGTCAATGGAGGACAGGCAGAGCTGTGGGAGATGCAGGTTAGAATCCTTCTCCTTCCTATTCTTTTTACTCTTGAGTTGCTACATAGAAGAGCATTGAAAAGTTGCTTGTCCTGCCTGCAGTGTGCCCAAGGTGTCATTTTGTGGTGTGTGGCTTGAGTTCCCATATCCTTTGATATGTAGCCAGAAAATACTGTATTTATTTATAAGACTATACTTTTGTCTAAAATCTTTAGACTGAAAATTGAGGGTTGTCTTATACATGGAAGTAAGCTGAGGAGAGAAAAAAACAAGTGGAGGGGAAAGCAGGGATCAAAGCCATCCTGCAGTGTTTTGATCCCTTTCCCCCTATACTTGCTAAGCCCCACTTAGATTTCTTAATTTTAGAAAAATGGGGGTATCTTATACATGGTGGGGGTGTCTTATACACGGGAAAATACGGCAATAGGATGCAGGCCTAGTGTTTTGTGCTGCATAAATCTAGAGAAAAATCCAATATCTTGATAATCTGGTCATGTTGTGGAAAACAAGATTGTTAAGATTTTTTAAAACTCAATTTCTTTTAAACCCATGCCTTGTCAAGTCTGTGTGGAGAATTGAAAATATGGATGAGGTTTTGGATTTTAAAAAATCTCTGCATAACTCTATGATCTGAATGGGTGTTTCTTTCCTAAATTCATCAGACACTTGCTGCTGAGTTTAGGAAAGTTTAGCATTTCATCAAACTACTTACATTTGCATTTTCTTTTCATTTTCAAAGATCATTTTGTAAAATAACTCTTCTTCCTTGCAGGTGAAAACATTTGGACCGTTAGGGAACGAAAATGAAGACAAGCTTGCCATGTATATGGATCTAGCTGATGGAGTCTTTCTGAACAAAATAATGCTGCAAATGTGAGTTGTAGTTAAAGGCCTTAGTGTGCGTGCGTGCAGGGGGAGGGATTACTGTTCCGTTATGCTGCTAGTGTTGGTAGAATGGAAGCATTTGTATGAGAAATCGTTACTATTGATTGGACACTCTTGTTTCTCGGCTGGTGGTGGTTGTCATTTCTGCCTTGGAAAATTTAATCTTAGTTCACTTCTGGCTTATTGTCACTGAAACTGCTCTTTTTGTGTATCACTACTATGAGATTTTCAAAGTGTAAAATGTGTTTTAGTCAACTGTAAAGCGAATGGTATTTTGAAAAACGTACGGCATGACAAACGGTTGTGTTGTGGTGGCATTTTCTGTAAAATGGACAACAAGCCTGTGGTTGTTCAGATGTTGCCCTTCAGCTTTCGTCAACCTCAGAAAGTATGTATAATGGTGTTTGTAAAGTTGTAAATTACTTAAAATGAGGAAAAGGGAAATGGAAAGTAATACAGTGGAGTGTATTAAAGGAGAAGGCAAGTGGAAGCTGAGCTCAGCGCTCAGTGAAGCTCATTGTCTCCCCGGGACGCTCCAAATTCTGAGGTGCCAGGTAGGGCTTAGAGATATGTGTGTGTGTATTTTCCAATACAGCTGCTCCACCAGCCCTTTCATGAAACTGGAAAGCTAAGAGAAAGATCTGCTTTGCTGTTTAGACCTTTTTTCATTCTAGAATATTCTTGCTTTTCTTTGTTCTCTCACTCAGCTTAGTTACTAAACTTTACCAAAACATTATTATCCTGTTAGAGTCGTCTTTGTGCATGATTGTGGAAGGATAGTTGTTGTATAAGCTTTGGGTGGACAAGTCACATAATTAGAATATTGTATAGCTCCAGGTCATAGCATTTACCATTCCTGCCATTTGTGACATCAAAAAAAAACTACATAAACATTTGGAGATCCAGAAATGCACAGATAATGCCACAGATTAGAGATCGGGGCATTCAGTCGTATGCGAATATGAATGGACTTAACAAGGGTTGTCTGGTGGTGGGGTTGGTGACCCCACTCATCTTTCCAGTCGCACCTGGTGCACCGCTGTCTTCCTGCTTGGCTACCAACTCTTCAACCATGCAGGGAGACTTGTCCTCTTTCCCCCTGCGTGGAGTGGCCAGCTGAGCGGGAAGAGAGCTGCACTCTGGGAGCAATTGGAAGGATGAACAAGGCTGCTGCCGATGCGTGAGTGGATGGTCCGGCCCTGGGGGCAGGACACTCGTTAAGTCCAGCTGTACGGGGATATTCGAATACGAATACCCCCATCTCTACCATAGACTCAAGAATGGAGTCGGTCAGAATATCTCCTAAAGGATCCAGGCTGGGTGGCCCAAATCTCTATGCTCTTTTTTTTTTAACAGAGGGCGTCAACACATCCCTACTTTACAGTGCCTAGCCAATGCATTTACATTGTTTAAAAAGTGAAAAAAAAGCATGGAAATTAAAGAGTGACATACTTGGGCTGCTGGCAAATCTGAAAAATGGCTCCTGGATCCATTGAGGTCACACACACCCCATCAGTAGAGACCCACATTCAAATCCTCACACTTCCAATTTAAGGAATTTCAAGGAGAGAACTGTGAAAGTTCTCTCCTTGAGACCATGGTAACCCATTGGCAATTGGTTTACACCAGCCATATCCCAGATATTTTGGACTGCAATCTCCATTGTCTCATATAACCCATGTTGGAAGTGAAAGCATCTATGCTGGGAATGTCAGGTATAAACAATAATGAACTTACTGTGATTCCCTGAAAACAAGACAGGGTCTTATATTAATTTTTACTCCAAAAAACACATTAGGGCTTATTTTCAGGGGATGTTTTATCTTTTTTTTTCATGTACAAACAATCTACATTTATTCAAAGGCAGTCATGTCATCTTCTGGTTGCTGCACAGTAGTGGAGGGCGGGGTTTCACTTAACTGGGGCTTGTTTTGGGGGTAGGGCTTATATTACGAGCATCCTGAAAAATCATACCAGGGGGCTTATTTTCAGGTTAGGTCTTATTTTCGGGAAACAGGGTGTATATAACTGCTATGGAGCAGTTGTTTGTATGATTTAGCTTCATCAGTTTATAAGGCCAAAGAGGTACATAGATGAAAATGGGGTGAGTTGGCTTTTGAAAATAAAAGGCACAGGGACGCTTTTTTTATTATTATTAAAGTGAAACTTCAGTATACTCTATGTCTTTGTCTGCTTATGGTGTGTGTCTGTAGCAGTTGCCTTATGTCTTGGCAATTCTGGTGGTATACTGTCTGTAAACTTTTCCAAGCATATAGAGGCCCTTAGGTTAGATGTTAACCTAAAATGGTAATGAAGAGAGAAGGAGAGGAGGAACGTTGAAATTTTTGAGTGTGCATAAGTAGCCTTTTTTTTCCTTTGAGTTCGGTTAAGCTTGACTTCAACCACATCCCTTCCTGTTGTAAAGTTGGTGACATGATGAAACAGCTTGTATTGTGTGAGCTTTGTGATTGCTTGGAAACAGATCAGTTTCAGAGAGATCCTTTGAACACTACATTTTCACTTAGGCCTGCCCTGGGGGGCGGGGGGGGGGAATGCAGGAAAACTGCTTTTATTTTGCTGCACTCGTGTGGTCAGTGAGAAATGTTCATAGATTTCCAAAGATCCAAAGTTAGGCAAGTGGGACAGTTTAGGACATCTGGACAGAGTTGGTTTTCTTTTCCTCGAGTGTGTATGTGTGTCTTTTTTATTCTTTGTAGTCACCCTTGACAGCTGTCCCTTGTTATACCTCAGGATTAATGAAACTAAAAACTTTCTCCAAAAGGGCTGAGCCTGTTTAACGAGAAATCTATACAGTCACTTTGGGGTGTCTCCAGCTTAGCCCTGCTGCAGAGGTGGTTGTGGCTACTGTTCCTCTCTTCCCCCTTTCCTTACCATCACAAAAGTGCTTACTGCGTGGCCTATAAAGAAGAGAGAGCCCTTTCCCTTTCACCCCCTCTTCCCACAATTGTTTTTTTCCCCCCTTCTCCATCCTGGCGCTTTCAAAAGAGAAGAGCAGAACTATGTTTCTAGTGCAGACTCATCACTTTCCTTAGACCTGGTGTTAAATGGTCTTGTACATGTTCAGTATTTCCTTGTACTGCTACGTGCCACATTACATAGCACGTTCTGAGACTTACTGAGATGATATAGATTTCCTCGGCCTGCTGGCACACCCCTGCCGTCCTGCTTTGAGCATTGATGCCTTAAATAGCCAGGTCCCTTTTTATAAATTGTCGGCATACTTTTATATATATATTCGGTTTTGGTGTTTCCCTGTGATAGCAGCCAGTGAAGAAGCTGCAGAGCCGTGTTTTCCAAAGACAGCCTACAGACAAGGCAGTACTGTTGTTGTTATTGCTGCTATTGGTTTGTGTGGGATATGTGGTTTACTCTTTAAACTGGCTTCTAAAAATTTCTACGGCATGGAGCAAGCCAGTTATTCTTGGTCATAAAAAGGGAGGGATGGAAAATACAGTATTTTTCAGTCATATCATGGTGAGAGATAAAACGTGTTTCCTGCTGGAAAGGATCTTGTCGAGTGGCTGTTCTTCGATCACTTTGTATGGTCTTTCGTTGTATGAGGGCTTGAACTTGGGGCCTTAACCAACACATGCTAGTGCCAACACTAAAATAGAGTAAATATTTTGATGTCCAAATGTATACAGTGGACCCTCGACTTACAGACATCTAGATGTACAAAATTTCTACGGCATGGAGCAAGCCAGTTATTCTTGGTCATAAAAAGGGAGGGATGGAAAATACAGTATTTTTCAGTCATATCATGGTGAGAGATAAAACGTGTTTCCTGCTGGAAAGGATCTTGTCGAGTGGCTGTTCTTCGATCACTTTGTATGGTCTTTCGTTGTATGAGGGCTTGAACTTGGGGCCTTAACCAACACATGCTAGTGCCAACACTAAAATAGAGTAACTATTTTGATGTCCAAATGCATAGTAGGGTTGCATAGGATTTAAGGATATATTATATTTAAAATAACTCAGGTGGATTGTAAAGTATACATAAATTTGTTCAATTCAGATTCTTCACTCAGAAGGACACCTTTTATAGATTGAAATTCTGCTGCTTAGCATAGTACCTTGCACTAGAGTAGGGCTATTTATACAGTGGGGATTGGGTGAGTTCAGTTTTATTGATTCAAATGGACCTACTCCAGTGGCAACTTAGAATCATAAAATCATAGAAAAGGGAAATTAAAAGGGGCCTACAAGGCTATCAAGTTCAATCCCCTGCTCAGTGCAGGAATAAACTCAAAGCATATCTGCCATGTGATTATCTAAATCACTAAGGTAAGTCACAACTAGAGTAGGTCCATTTGAATAAACAGAACTTACAGAGAAGTTGACTCACCAAATCACCACTGATTCAGTGTGCTATCTCTAGTGTCATTTATTTAAACAGTGGGGATTGGGTGAGTTAGTTCAGTTTTATTGATTCAAATGGACCTACTCCAGTGGCAACTTAGAATCATAAAATCATAGAAAAGGGATCAAGGCCATCAAGTTCAATCCCCTGCTCAATGCAGGAATAAACTCAAAGCATATCTGCCATGTGATTATCTAAATCACTAAGGTAAGTCACAACTAGAGTAGGTCTATTTGAATAAACAACTTACAGAAAAGTTGACTCACCAAATCACCACTGATTCAGTGTGCTATCTCTAGTGTCATGTATTACACTAATAAGCAACATGATTTCAGCCACAGTATCTGACCATTGAGCCACATGGCGCACTGTTGACCGTAACTGATATTGGCTCCCAAGGTTTCAGACAGGCATATTTCTAGTCCTCTCTGGAAAGGATGAGAATTGAATCTAGGACCTTCTGGTTTCCAAGCAGATTGCCTAAGATATCTTTGAGCAAACTCCCCCCACAACCAATAACAAGTTTAAACTGATTGTCATGAGAAATAGTACATGTGAGTATTCTCCCTTACCCCATCACCACCTGCTAGGTTGACACACATTTGAA